TCCCCACTCCAGGGATCTGGGCACACACCTGCATTTCAGGGTGTCCATGTCCCACTCCAGGGATCTGGGCACACACCTGCAGTTCAGGGTGTCCCACTCCATGTCCCACTCCAGGGATCTGGGCACACACCCGGAGTTCTGGGTGTCCCCTCTCCATGTCCCAGCTCCCAGGGCACTGTTTTGCAGAGATAATCAAAACTCCACAACTTTTGTGGAAGTTGTAAAGCTGGTATGTTTATTGTATGTATGTTTATTACAGCACTGGGCACATGTGGGAATAGTTCTCCTAAAATGACATGTGTACTTCTGGGAACTTCAGGTCTCTTTTTATCCCCCTCTCAGATACATATACATACAATTTCACAGTAGGTTCATACATATTCATTTTTATGAAGTTCACGTGACATTTGCTGCTAGTTCTTCTGTATCAGAAAGAATTCCCAGGTCAGGTTGACTTGCTCTCACAGCAGTCTCTGTCTGTCTCTATCACTCTCTGTCTCCCCCACCCTTATCTCTGTCCTTCACTGAAGCAGTTTCTCTGAGCCTAGGCTTTGCAGTCAGGCTAAAAAGCTCTGTTTTCTAACCACAGACTCAACTCAAAAATGTACACTTCACCTAAATCAAAATGGATTTCTACCCTAGAAAATTTCCACTTTGCTTCAGCACACACCTGGAGTTCAGGGTGTCCCCACTCCGTGTCCCAGCTCCAGGGGTCTGGGCAGACACCCAGAGCTGCTGGGAGAGCAGATGTAGGGATGAAGTTTTTCACCCCCTCTTGTGTGGCTGGGAGGTTCCCTCTGTGCAGAGCTGGCCTTGCTGGGATCCTTGTTCCACAGGTCAGGGAGTTCTCTGGCACTGCCTGATGATCCAAGGAGCAAAGGGAGCCCATCCTGGCTGGAGCTGCTGCCATTCCATGCCATGCTGTGGAGCTGCCAACCACGCCAGGCTGGGCCAGCCCTGTGTCCTGCTGCTGGCGTCACCGCTGTGCCAGGGCTCAGCTGCTCCCTGACTCTTGCCCCCTGGGAAAAGCAAACATGACACAGCATTCCTGTGTTTGGATAACAGGCAGGCAGTGTCCAGGAGCACCTTCTGGAAAGATCAGTTGGAATGTGCTGGTGGGTGCAGCCTGAGGGCAGCTCAGCAGAGCAGATGAGGTGCTGGGTGCCTCCAACCCTTCATGCTTCCCTTTTCCCAGATCCTTTCCCTAAAATCTGGCTGCTTTTGCCTGGTGGAAGGCACAGGCAGGATCCTCCAGCTGGCTCTGCCTGTGACACAAGCAGAGGAGTGTTCACCTGCAGATCTCTGATCATTGCAAACCTCATGGAGACCCTCATGGAGACCCTCAGCTGCTCATTGAATTGCTGAGAGGCCTTGGAATTCCCAGTCCTCACTCTGTGGTGTCTGAGGAATGCCCCTGTCCTTCTCCCACCACTGCTGAGGTGGAACATGGCCTGTTCAGCTGCTCACAAGCAGATGCCAGTGGTGCTCTGGGCATTTTCTGGTGATGTTGGGGTTGTTGACATCCATCCATGATTTATGTTGGCGTTTTTAGCTGTGCAACCCCATTGGATTGGCTTTGGATTCTTCTCCACCTTGTGTGAGGTGCCTCTGGATTGCAGGGATTTCACAGCTCTGTTTTGGGAAGGTGTGTGAACACTGCAGCTTGTGTAGGAGCCTCTTGGGATGTGCATTGACCCCCACAAACACAGTTTTGCTTGGAAACAGAATCCAAGTTCTGCAAGGTCAGGTCTGTTCCCCCTTGGAGAACCCTTGTCCTGGGCAGATCCCTGCTCCTGCTGGGAAAGGGCTTGCAGGCAGCAGCAGTGAGGGGATTTGCTGTGTTCTCCCTGAACACAAGGTATCCAGGGCTCAGAGCATCATGGTGCTTGCATTTTCCTGGGTTTTCTCTGTTGAACCTTGGCTCTGTGACATGAAGGGACTCTGGGGATATGAAGGGACAAAGCCTCTTGGGGAGCTCAGAGGGGTCATGGCTGCTGGCAGCAGAGCCTGGTGTGGGAGCAGATCTCCTGAGGGAAGAGCCAGTTCCCTTTGTGGAGCACAGCACAAGGATGAGCTTCCCCTTTTCCTTGTCTGTTTTCCATCTCCAATCAGTTCCTTCCTGCCTCCCCTTGCCCTTGGTGTTAGGAGCTCTGTGTTTGCCCCATGTCTGAGCTCTCCTGGTTCCTTCTGTCAGGGCAGGGATGCTGGGGCTCATCATCCAGGTGGACCCCAGCAGGTTTAGAGCTGTGGTGGGTGGCAGTGACAGAATTCCCTCCCCTAGGCTGGCAGAGAAATACAAGGAGTGCCTGACCAGCAAGGAGAAGATCCTGAAGGAGATTGAGGTGAAGAAGGAATATCTGAGCAGCCTCCAGCCTCGACTCAACAGCATCATGCAGGTACCTGAGCCCTGCAGGAGGTCACCCTGAGGGGCAGCTCCTGGGCTGGTTTGGGTTTGGAGGTGTTTCATTCCCATTCGGGGTGGGCAAGGGGCAGATCTGAGACCCCTCCAGAGTCTCCTTTTTTATTTATGCAGCAATTCCTGCAGAACTGCAGCTGCAGGAGCTGCTAAATGGGCCTTTCCCTGGAGAGCCCCACGCAGTCCCAGCCCCCTGTGGCTGCCTTGGGAGGGAAGAACAGGAGGAGGAGCTGGGTTATTTCCAGATCCAAAACTTTCCCAGTGAGACAGCTGCCAGCCCTTTCCTGAGGCTCTCCATATTTAACCCTGCACCACCACTGCTGTGGCAGCTTCATCTCCTGCTCTCTCGGGGTGAGGATGATGAGCTGTTCCCCTCCCAGTGCTGAAGGCTCTCCCTGTCATTCCCAGGCCTCCCTCCCTGTGCAGGAGTACCTGTTCATGCCCTTCGACCAGGCTCACAAGCAGTACGAGACCGCCCGGCACCTCCCGCCGCCTCTCTACGTCCTCTTCGTCCAAGCCAGTGCCTATGGACAGGCCTGTGGTGAGCACCGAGGGGCCAGCGCCCCCCCAATGCCCCCCACAGACCAGACTTCACTCCTGCCTGCAGCAATCACCACTTTTTGGGGTGTTTCCCCCCTGTCTGCTCTGCTGTCAGATTCTGCTGAGCGCAGAGCAGCGGGGTGGCCCCACGGCGCAGTGAGGCAGCAGCATTTGAAACCTTGTTTGCTCAGCTGCCTCGCTGGGAGAAGTGCTTGGGAAGCTCCCTTCCCACCCCTTCCCCCCTTGCCAAGGTCAGCAGGGATGTCCTTGCAGCCTGTGAGCAGCCTGTGAGCTGGCTCAGTGCTGTCACAGCTTCCCCAGAGCTGTCACCCCCTGCCTTGTGCCACCTGGGGACCCCAGGCCTTGTAGAGGCCATTCCCACAGCTCACTCAGAAACCTTCATCCCTTTATTTTGGGGGGATTTCTGCAGCCTCCCTGAGCTGGGAGGGATTTCCTGGAAGAGGACAGGAATCAGGAATCCCACTGGCCTTTGCACACCTCCTGTGTGGTGAGGGCTGTGGTGTGACCTGTTCCTCTCAGTGCCAGAGGAGCATGGAAGGACACGGTGGTGCTTGGCCACACCAGGTCCCTGCTTGTCCCAGCCACATCCCAACCTCCCTTGGCTCTTAATAAACATTTGGCCCTTATGGTTTCCAGGGAGAATCCCCCAAAACTCAGCATTTTCCATCTTCTGACCCCATCCTGCCCAGGAGATCCAGCCCAGTGGTGGCCTCCCAGAACCTTCCAGACACCTCTCCTCCCACTGGCCTTTTGCTGGAGCTTCCTTCAGCAGGAACCAGGAGCTTTAGAGGCAAGGCTGCTCTGCTCACTGCCTTTGCAGCAGGAATGGCATTCCTAACTCAGTTTTCCTGTCTCCTCTGCAGATAAGAAGCTGGTGGTGGCCATTGAAGGGAGTGTGGAGGAAGCCAAGGCCCTTTATAAGCCACCTGAGGACTCCCAGGGTGAGTTGTGGTGTTGCCCTGGGGACTTGTTCCTGTGTGTGTGCAACTCCTGGGACCCTGCCTCTGTTGGGAGAGGGGTGTCAGGGCTTGGGAAAAGCCCTGGTGGTCCTGCTGGTGGTGGGACAGCTGAGCCCTGGGTGGTCCCTGCTGACACCCCTCTCTCTCTGCAGATGATGAGAGCGATTCCGACGCCGAGGAGGAGCAAACCACGGTAAGGGACAGCACTGCCCCCCTCTGGGGAGAGCTGGGGCTGGGAACTGCCCCTGCACACTCTGAGTGTGTGTGGAACTGCAGTGATGTCAAATGCTGACCTTTCCTGGGAGGAGGGAGCTGCCATTTCCAGCTGGTGTCCCAAATGCAGGAGCAGGCAGGGTACAGAGCTGCTCCTCTCGTGTCCCATCCCTGCAGCTCCAGCTGGAGCTGCTCCACTTTGTATAAATAGCCTGAGGGCAGGGAGCTGTGTCCAACAGGGAGGGATCTGTGTCCATCCCGTGCCAAAAGCATTCTCTGCACCAGGGCTTGTTCAGCACTCCTTGGAGGAAGTGTTTCTCCTACAAATAATTCCTGCTGGATGCTGAGGGGAGGATGGAGGTGCTGGTTGCTCCCAGCAGCAAAGCCTGAGGGGGCTCTGGGCCTCCACTCCCACCAGCAGCAGCAGAGCCAGGTGTATGGGGATGTTCTGTGGGGAAGGGTCTCATGTCCAGAGAAGGGAATGGAGCTGGAAAGGGCTCAGCCTGGAGCAAAGGAGGCTCAGGGGGAACCTTGGGGCCCCTGCACAGCTCCTGCCAGGAGGGGACAGCCGGGGGGTCGGGCTGTGCTCCAGGGAACAGGGACAGGATGAAAGGAGAGTGTGCCAGAGGAGGATATTGGGAATATTCCTTCACAGAAAGGGCTGCCCAGCCTGGCACAGCTGCCCAGGGCAGTGCTGAATCCCCATCCCTGGAGGGATTGAATAACCATGTGGTTGTGGCACGGGGGGACATGGGGCAGTGGTGGCCTTGGCAGTACTGCAGGGATGGTTGGACTTGATGCTCTCAGAGGGCTTTTCCAACCTAAAGGATTCAGTGATTCCAGGTTCTGCCTCTTGCAGTGGGAAAGCTTTGGGCCAGCAGGTCCTTGGCTTTGTCTCCCAGGAGTGGAGACATTCCCTGGAGCTGAAGGAGTGACAGGAGCTGAGCTGAGTGAGCATTTCCTGCTCCTCTCCCTCCCCAGGACAGTGTGGCCGTGGTGCTGGGGGTTGTGGAGCTGGACTGGAGGGAAGGAGCTGTGTGCTGGGAAGGTCCCTGGGTTGGTGAGGAGCAGGAGAAGGCTCTCACAGCTGTTTTGCCTCTCCAGAAGCGGCGCAGGCCCACCCTGGGTGTGCAGCTGGACGACAAACGCAAGGAGATGCTGAAGAGACACCCCTTGTCTGTCACACTGGACCTGAAGTGCAAAGGTGAGGGGCTCTGGGGTGGGACAGCAGCTCAGGGACTGTCCCCAGCAGCACCTGGGGATCTTGGAGGGAGCTGGAAGTGTGGAGGGGTTTCTCTGAGTCACCACCAATGTCACCCCTTCTGTGTGGGCAGATGAGAACGTGCTTCACCTGACCTTCCACTACCTGATGAACCTCAACGTCATGACAGTGAAAGCCAAGGTGACCACTGCCATGGAGATGACCACGGCCATCAGTGCTGGGTAAGGAGAGCCCTGTGGTGAACCAGCCTGGAGATCATTGGGCAGTGACTTCATGGGGTTTGGGAGCTCTGCAGAGCCTGGAGATCATTGGGCAGTGACTCCGTGGGATTTTGGAGCCCTGCAGAGTCTGGAGGTCATTGGACAGTGATTCTGTGGGGTTTGAGAGCCCTGCAGAGTCTGGAGATCATTGGGCAGTGATTCTGTGGGGTTTGGGAACCCTGCAGAGCCTGGAGATGATTGGGCAGTGACTCCATGGGATTTGGGAGCCCTGTAGAGCCTGGAGATCATTGAGTTGTGATTCTGTGAGGTTTGGGAGCCCAGCACAGCCTGGAGACCATTGGGCAGTGACTCCTTGGGATCCAGGAGCCCTGCAGAGTCTGGAGATCATTGGGCAGTGACTCTTTGGGATTTTAGAGCCCTGCAGAGTCTGGAGATCATTGGGCAGTGATTCTGTGGGATTTTGGAGCCCTGCACAGCCTCGAGCTCATCAGGCTGTGATTCTGTGGGATCTAGGAACCCTACACAGCCCAGAGCTCATCAGGCAGGGACCCCTCTGCCCCTGTGGGTCTGGGAGCCCTGCACAGCCCAAGCACCTTCCTCCCCCTCTCCTCTGCCATGACAAGCCAGACTCAGGGAGTTTGGGAGCGTCTCAGCAGTGCCAGAGCTGTCAGGAACTGGGGAAAAGTCTCTCCTGCTGACACATTCAGCCTCCCTCCCACAGGCAGAGCCTGGCAGCTCCCTCACCTGCCTGTTCCTGAGGTCACCTTGTCCTGAGCTCCAGAGATGCAGCTGCCTGTGCTCCCCAGAGCCTGCAGAGCCTGATTGGTGTGAGGGAAAGCTGAAGTGGCAGCTTTGGGAGCCTGCCCAGGGAGCTCCCAGCGGCTGCCAGCTCTCTGGTGGCTCTCCTTGGCACAGGAGGTGCCTGAAGAAGAGGGAGGTGGGAAAAGCTGGTCTGGGCTTGCCTGGGAGCAGGTGCTGCCTCCCAGCCTGTCCCATATGCAGCCTCCTCATCCTATTGGGGTTCTCTTCCTGCTGCAGACACCCCAAACCCTCTGTGACAGCAGCTGGAGATCCTGTGCAGGGCGTTCCCTCCTGCTGCTGCCCTTGGCTGTGTTACCCCAAAGCAGGGAGGCTGTGCCTTGAGCCAGACCCCAAATCCTGCAGCCCATTGTGCTTGGTCAGTCCTGTGAGTAGTCAGACATGAGGAATTTCATGGCACTAGAGGGAGCAGCTTCCTGGAAGAGCAGGAGCTGGGGCCCTGTGATTTCCATCCTGGAGACAGCTCTCCCTTTGGAGTGGAATCAGGGGAAAGTCATTCTGCTCTTGCGCTCATGAAGCTCATAATCCCTTCTCTGGGCTTGGAGCCTGTTCATGGAGGGATGAGGAGCCCAGACTGCTGCTGACTGACCTCTCCTCTCTTTCTGCCAGGGACCTGCTCTCCCCAGACTCCCTCCTCAACTGCCTCTATCCAGGGGACCACGGCAGGAAAACGCCCAACCCGGCCAACCAGTTCCAGTTTGATAAAGTGGGGTGAGTGTCACCCAGGCCATTGCCTTTAGTTCCTGGCTCCAGCACAGCAAATTCTCCCTGCTTGATGTGACCCTTCCTCGTTGTCCCCACAGCATCCTGACCCTGAGTGACTATGTGACAGAGCTGGGACACCCCTATGTGTGGGTGCAGAAGCTGGGCGGCCTGCATTTCCCCAAGGAGCAGCCTCAGGCATGGCACAAACCCCTCCCTTCTCCCCCACAACATTGGGCTGAGCTTTGGGCTCCTGTCCTGTCCCCCTGCTGGCCCCATCTGCCCCCAAACCGTGGCTGGGGCAGGCTGAGCTGGGCTGGATCTGTGTGTGGGGCCACACTGATGTATTTCCTGTCACACATGTGGCAGTCCAAGCCCTTTTGGTGCCTGAATGATGGGTGCCTGTCCCTGTGGGGATGTGGCTCCTGGCCTGACATCCCTCCTGCCCACAGCACACGGTGGCTGCTGACAATTCCCTGAGTGCCAGCCACATGGAGCTGACAGTGAAGCTGCTCCGGAGCCGCCTGCAGTCCCGCCTGGCCCTGCACAAGCAGTTTGCATCCCTAGGTGAGTGCTGGGCTCCCCACCCTCCCATGGGGACAGGGGTGCAGTGGCACAGTCCTGCCAGGCTCCCTGCCCATTCCCTGGGGACAGAGATGTAGTAGCAAGGTCCTGCCAGGCTCGCTGTCCATTCCTTGGGGACATGGATGCAGTGGCACGGTCCTGTCAGGCTCCCTGTCCTTCTATGGGGACAGGGATGCAATGACAGGGTCCTGCCCATTCTTTGAGGGCAGGCGTGCAGTGGCAGAGTCCTGCCAGGCTCCTCACCCTTCTCTGGGGACAGGGGTGCAGTGGCAGGGTCCTGTCAGGCTCCCTGTCCTTCTATGGGGACAGGGATGCAATGACAGGGTCCTGCCCATTCTTTGGGGACAGGGGTGCAGTGGCAGAGTCCTCATGCAGGGAAGCATCTCTTCCCTGCTCAGCCAAGCTCCAGGTGGCCATGGTCCTGAATCCCAGTTATTCCAAGCTGCTGGCCCATCTTCAGCCAGTGCTGAACTGGGAAGGAGAGTGGAACATCAGCAATCACAGGAGAGGAGACATCAGCTGGCTGATGTGACATTTGATGGGTGGCAGTGCCACCCTCAGCATTCTCAGTTGTTCCCTCAGCCCTTGGGAGTTGTAGGAATGAAGGAACTGCCCTCTTTTGTGCAGCATGGGAAGGCTGTGCCCTTTCCAGTGCCCAGCACCTCTTTGGGAATGGCCATCCCAGTGCTGGGAAGTGATCTGGGACATGGTGGGAGGTGAACTGCACACCATGCATGTTTGTGTGCTTGTCAAGCAGCTCAGGGATCCTGTGGGATCACAAGCCAGGAATCCCATGGGATCACAAGCCAGGGATCCAGTGGGATCACAGCCCAAGGATCCAGTGGGATCACAGCCCAAGGATGCCATGGGATCACAAGCCAGGGATCCAGTGGGATCACAGCCCAAGGATCCAGTGGGATCACAGCCCAGGAATCCCATTCAGTCACAGCCCTGGCTCTGCCTGGCACCTGGTGGAGCTGCAGGAGGATGGCATCGTGCCCAGGTCCCGCTTTGGGAGTGTCCCCACTGCAGGACAGTGGCAGAGCAGTGTCCCCAGCCCTGTCCTTGCTTTCAGAGCACGGCGTTGTGCCGGTGTCCAGCGAGTGCCAGCAGCTCTTCCCCACCAAGATCGTCTCCCGCCTGGTGAAGTGGACTGCCATTCCCTATGAGGATTATGCTGTAAGTGCTGGGCACGAGGCTGAATCCCTCCCTTCCAGCTCCCACGTGGCACTGCAGCCATCATTCCTCTTTCTCCTCTCAGGAGCTGCCCTACACTAAGGATGTGATAGAGGCTGGCTTGGCTGAAGACACTCACCTCTACTACATGGCCCTGATAGAGAGGGGAACAGGTAAGCACCTTTCCTTCCCTTGGGAGCTCCCAATCCTCATCCCAGGGCAGCCTCATGGCTAACCCCCCTGGCTGGAGGCCCTGTCAGTGACACCTTTTCCCTGCTCAGCCAAGCTCCAGGCAGCTGTGGTGCTGAACCCTGGTTATTCCACGCTGCCTCCTGTCTTCAGCCTGTGCCTCAACTGGAAGGGAGAGAGGAACAGCAGCAACGACGACAACATTCGGGTACTGTGGGGTGGGGGCTGCATTTTTGGGGTGTCCCCAGCAGATCTGTGCCCATAACAAGGGAATGTTGGGGTGAGCTGGTGGCTGGACACTCCTGTGTGATGGTGTTCACAGGAATCTCAGGTTGAGGGAAGAGATGAGGATCTGACTCCATGTTTCAGAAAGCTTAATTTAATATTTTATGATATATATTACATTAAAACTATACTAAAAGAATAGAAGAAAAGATTTCATTAGAAAGCTAGCTAAGAATAAAATAGCAAAGAATGATAACAAAAGTTTGTAGCTCAAGCTCTCTGTCTGAGATTCACTGTGATTCACTATTAATTACAAACATCTAACATGAACTAATTAAAGATCCACCTGTTGCATTCCACAGCAGCAAATAATCAATGTTTACATTTTGTTCCTGAAACCTCTCAGCTTCTCAAGAGGAAAAATCCTAAAAAAAAGATTTTTCATAAAAAATGTCTGCGACACTCCTGGGATTGCAGGGTAGAGATCCAAGCCTGTGCCAACCTCATCCCTGTTTTCCAGGCCATGGAGAGCGAGGTCAATGTCTACTACAAGGAGCTGTGGGGGCCCAAACCTGGCTACCAGCTGCTCACCAACCAGCTGCAGCGGCTGTGCATGGTGCTGGACGTGTACCTGGAGACAGAGCCCCACGATCCCAGCGTGGAGGGGCCCAAGGAGTTTCCCCAGGAGAAGATGTGTCTGCGCCTGGTCAGGTGGGAGCTGCCTGGGGGTCAGGGTGCTGCCAGGGACCCTGGTGCCATTGCTGCTCCTGTGCGCGGGGGCGTGAACGGCCCTGGATCCGGCTGTCTGGTGAGGGGCGAAGGCCAGGGCCCCTGCACATCCGAAGCCAGCCCCCCTCGGCGTCCTGGCCTCGGGCTGAGCTGGGGGATAGCTCGGAGCAGCGCGGTGAGAGACGAATTAGGAGGCGACCACTTGCTGGGGGTAAACTGTCGGTTTATTACAGAAGAACCAACAAGGAGGGGAAACACCCAGCAAATGGCCCCGAACAGGGGGCAGGAGAGGGTTTTAAGGGAAAAGGGGGGAAGAAGGCAGGGAAACCCGGCTATCCAATAGAAATACATATTTGGAGGTACGAAACATAACTGATATACCAAAGTAACTAACTGTTATAAATCATAGGAGGGGCTCCGGGGCTACAGCCAACCATACCTCCCAGAGAAAAGAAAATTCTAGAAACCTGGGAGGAGAAAAAGAGTGATTGACTGACCCCAAGGAGGAAACAACTTTCACTTTATAAGAGAAACCAAGGGAGGAGCAGTTTCCTTTCCATAGCAACCTAACTGGCAGGGTAGCAGCAGGAAGTAATACAGAAAATGGGGGGAGCAAACTAACAAACTTAAGAACACACCACAGCACTCCTGGAAGCCTGTCCTAGAGGGATCAGCCCCCATAATAGCCCCAGAACTGGGCCTGTTCTGTGGGTGCTATGGGAGGTTCCTGATCCCTGTGGTCACAGCCTCCCTTCTTCTCCTCTTCCAGGGGTCCCCTGCGCCTGAAACCCTTCAAGTTCAACTACCCCCAGGGGTTCTTCAGCCACCGCTGAGCAGCCCTGGGGCTCACTCTGGGATGGGACTCGTACACTCCATGGGAGGAGTGTTCACATCCTGACGTTTCTGCTCCTTTTACAATGTTTTGGGGTTTGTTTGAAGGTTTTGTAGTCAAAGGGATTAAACTGAGCTAAAGAAAAACTATGTGGGTGCCTTGTCTGTGCAGAGGGGCTGGGATGAGGGAGCTGTGAGGGCTGCAGCAAGCCTTGTGTCCCAGCCCTGGGCTCTGACTGCCTTTCCAGGGTTGCTTCCTGCCTCCTGACTTCCCTCCCCAGCACAGGGACTGGGAGCTGAGGTGGCTAAAAACTGAGGTGGCTAAAAATAGCCCTTTCAGAGCCCGCAGTGCAGCCCCAGCCTGTCCTTGCCTGCTGGCTGCCAGCCCACTCAGCACAATCCCTGCATCCTGGGGGGCTTCTCTGCTCCCTGGCCTTGGAGGGGAGCAGAGCCTGTCCTGGGACAGGCAGGATGAGGGGTGGGACATCCTGGCTTGGCTTGTCCTGCTTGGCATCAGGGAGTTGGGATGTGCCCCCTCCGCTGCACTGCTCTGTGTGGGGGTCCCAGACTGGCAGAGCTGGGGTTCCATCCCCCCTGCCAAGGTCACTGTTGTCACTGTCCCTCCTTCCTCCCAGCCTCTCTGTGCTCCCCCCAGCAGGGCTGAGAGCCCCTCTCCCACTGCCCCCAGCCCTGCCCTGCCCTCGGTGCAGTGCTGCAGTGCCAGGCTGTGCCGCAGCCCTTGGGTTAAACCAGGCTCTCCCAGTCCCTTGGGAGCCAGGCTTTAAAAAAAGAAGGAAGGGAAAAAACACACTGAAATCCTTAGGAAAGCATGGCAGGCTGGCCCTGTTTCCGTGCTCAGGACACAGGGTCCTCATGCCTGCTGTGGGGTGTTTCCCCTCTGGAAAGCCCCATGTCACCCACCCCAGCCCCACATTCCCACCTTCCTTCCCTGTCTTCTCCCAGGACAAACCAGCAGAGCCAGGGTGTCTCTGTAAGCACTTTTATTTGGTTATTGCACAGAAAGCAAAGATCAGTGGGCTGAGGTTCCTGGTGCACCGTGTGTGTCTGTGAGCATTCCAGCAGCTCCCAGCCTCTCCCACCTCTGCCCCAAGGGACTGTCACCCCCCAGGGCAGGGCAGGACCCCGCCAGCCCCCCAAGCAGCTACAGCTCTGCATTGCACTCATCCATCCATTGCACATACATTAAATAAATGCACTTAGAGGAGAAGGGTGGTGGGGTTCCCCTGGGGGTCCCCCCTCTTCTCCTGGGTTATATTCAAGTGTTTAAATGTGGCGCTCGGCGAGTATCACGTTCTGCGAGGGAAGCAATCGCCCACCCGAGGGGCTCTCACGGGCCTATTGCTAAGGGAAAGCCTGGCCTGGGGGTCCTGGGGGTCCCTGGGCTCCCACCCTGGGCCCAGCCATGGCAGGGAGCGGAGCAGCTCCCGTGCCCGGAGGTGCCTGCGGCTCCCGGGACCTTTCTGTCACTTCTTCCCCGGCTCTGGGGCTGTGCCCTCCTTGCTGGAGGGAGCCTCGGCTTTGGGGGGTTCCTTACTGGCTTTGGGCTCATCTTTGGGTTTTGCTTTAGCTTTGGGTTCCTCTGCTTTCTTGGGTTCCTCTGCCTTCTCCTTCTTGGGTTCCTCCACCTTCTTAGGCTCCTCTGCCTTCTCCTTCTTGGGCTCTTCTGCCTTCTCTTTCTTGGGCTCCTCTGCCTTCTTGGGCTCCTCCGCCTTCTCCTTCTTGGGTTCTTCTACTTTCTTCTTAGGCTCCTCAGCCTTTGGCTTTTCAGCCTCCTTGGTGGCTGCTTTGCTGACCTCCTGCTGAGGTTTTGCTGGAGCCTCCTCAGCTTTTCCCTCTTCGGCAGGTTTGGGGCTTGGCTTGGTCTCTTTGGCCTGTGGAGCTGGAGCCTCTGGCACAGCAGCTGCCTTCTCCTTTGGTTTCTCCTCAGGTTTCTCCTCTGCCTTGGCTGGGATGTCCTTCTTGGGAGCTTCTTCCTTCTTAGCCTCCTCAGGCTTGGAGGGAGCCTTCACCTCCTTGGGCTGCTCCTCCTTGGCCGGGGCCTTTGGAGCAGGGCTTGGCTCCTTGGCTGGGGCCACCTCCTTCTGTGGAGACTTGGCCTCCTCCTTCACGGGAGATTTGGCTTTCTCTGGGGACTTCACAGCTGGAGGCTTGGCCTCCTCTTTAGTGGGGCTTGGGGGCTTCTCTGGGGATTTGATAGATGGGAGTTTGGCTTCCTCCTTCAAGGGAGTTGCGGGTGGCTCTGGGGATTTCACAGCTGGGGGCTTGGCCTCCTCTTTAGAAGGGGCTGGGGGTTTCTCTGGGGACTTGACAGTTGGGGTTTTGGCCTCCTCTTTTGAGGGAGGTGTGGGTTTCTCTGGGGATTTCACTGTCGGGGTCTTGGCCTCCTCCTTAGAGGGAGGTGTGGGTTTCTCTGGGGATTTCACTGTCGGGGTCTTGGCCTCCTCCTTAGAGGGAGGTGTGGGTTTCTCTGGGGATTTCACTGTCGGGGTCTTGGCCTCCTCCTTAGGGGGCATTGGTGGCTTTTCAGGGGATTTGACAGCTGGAGTCTTGGCTTCCTCCTTTGAGGGGGTTGGGGGTTTCTCTGGGGACTTCACAGCCGGGCTCTTGGCCTCCTCCTTTGAGGGGGTTGCAGGTTTTTCTGGGGATTTCACAACTGGGGTCTTGGCCCCTTCCTTTGAGGGGGATGGGGGCTTTTCAGGGGACTTGACTGCTGGGCTCTTGGCCTCCTCCTTTGAGGGGGACTCAGGTTTCTCTGGGGACTGAGCTTCTTCCTTTGAGGGGGACTCAGCCTCCTCCTTTGCAGGAGACTTGGCCTTTTCTTCTCCCTCTTCTTCAGCTTTCTCCTCTTCTTCTTCTTCCTCCCCCTCTTCCTCCTTCTCTTCAGCTTTTTCCTCCTCAGCCTCTTTCTCAGCCTCCTCCTCCTCTGTGACCTCCTCGGTCACCTGGATTTCCTCAGTCTGCTCCTCCACAATCACTGTCTCCTTCTCTGATTTTTCCACCACCTTGATCTTCTCCTCGCTCTTCACCTTGATGCTGGTGGTGATGCTGGGAGGCTTGGGGACCACCTCGGGGTAGGAGAGCATCCCAATGCCAGTCTCGAGCCGATACTCCTCCCCTTCCAGGAGCTTTCTGCCAGGGAGAGACCAGGGCAGGGCACTCAGTGATGCCTTCTCCTGTCCCCCCATGACCAGGAGCTGCCAGCAATGTCCTGCAGCTCCATCTCCCTCCCTGCCCCATCCTGGATGATCCTCCTGCTCCTATGGCCAGGGATGAGCAGGTTTCCTTGCCCTTCCCACCACACACCACGGGGTCACCCAGCTGGACATTGCCCACCGTGGATGGATGGTTTGCTCACCAAAAGGAGCCCAGGTGTTAACAAGGGACTTTGAGCAGACCTGGGTGAGACCCCCCACACCTTCCCCTGCCCCCCTGTACCTGTAGGCAGCAATTTCGATGTCCAGGGCCATCTTGACGTTGAGCAGATCCTGGTACTCGCGGAGCTGAGCTGCCATCTCCCACTTGGTGTTCCTCAGCTCGTTGTCAAGCTGCTGGATGGTTTCCTGTGGGCAGACAGAGCAGTAATGGGAGGGGACACATGGCACAGTCCCCAGGAGCAGGGGGACACAGGAGCACCCCTAAACTGTCCCCTGGTCTCCAGCACCAAGGTGTCCTCACGGAGGAGTCTGCAGACACACAGCGAAGGGGACACAGCCAGGGGTGGCCCCAAGGTGTCCAGGTGCCTTGGGGGACCTGGCAGGAGCCCTGCATGCCCTGAGCAAGGAGCTGCACTCCAGCTGAGCCCCTGCATGCTCCCAGCACTGCCTCCAGCAGGGACACGCTGTGGGAATGCTTCCAGGACTTGAGTGAGTCCAATGGTAAGTGAACTCCAGCTGGAGGCTGGTGGCACCACCCTGGGGACAGCACTTCATTCTAAGGCCACCAAGGCAGCCCTCACTTCCCAGATCTGGAGGACAGGATGTGGCCCAAAGCCTGGACACCCTTCCATAGCATTTGTGACCATCCTCACAGGCAGCTCAGTGCCAGGCAGCGCCATGGGGCAGCTCCAGGGGAGCTGAGGGACACAACAGCCCAGACACCTCCTCAGGCTCTGGGTNGCTGAGGGAGCAAACCTTCCCTCTGCATCCTCCAAGGCAGAGCCAGGCAGCAGCGCTGGCCCCTGCCCAAGGGCTGAGCTGTGGGAATTCACCTGCAGCTGGCAGCCAGCCCTGCCTTGTCACCCTGGCACAGCCTGGGGGACACACAGGGTGCAGGGTGCTGAGCACTGGTTTTTTGGGTCCCCTCATCACCCTGCTCCAGGCCCTAAAGTGCTTCCTGCCCTGGGGAGGGTTGTGTTGTGTGAGGAGCGAGGGCTGTGCCTTCATTCCTGAGCTGGAGGAGCCACTTTCCTTCTTGGGATTGCTGCGGGGCTTAAAGGGGTGGGAACTGGGTGGTTGTCTCAGCCCCTGGGATCAGTGGGGTGTTTCAGTGGGGCTGGGGATGGGGAGAGCACAGGCTGTGCTTTCCCTGCCCCTGGGAGAGCAGGGAGCTGCAGGAAGCAGCCGGTGTGATTGATGGCTGCGAGCTGCCTGCACAAATCCCCTGCTCAGCTTCAAGTTTGCTTTCCAGGCACTTCTGCAGAGCAGGGCTGAGTGTGAGCCAGGTCCTGGAGTCGGAGGGACTGCAGTGAATCCTCTTTTCTTCCCTCCCTTCCTTGCTGCCAGTGTGGCAGGACGGGATCTGCAGTGAGGTGCAGAGAGCTGCGGCGCAGCCCGGAGCTCCCACTGTTCCCTGGAGAGCCATCGACTTAGAGGGATAAAAAAGGCTCTGAATCAATCCCAGGTAACTGAGGCAGGGAGGAGTGTCCTGGCTCACCAGGGGCAGGGCTGTGGGACTGTGGTGCCAGCCTTCCCCCTCTGGAATAGCACCAGGATGGTGCTGCCAGCCCCCAGAGCAGCCCCAAACCCACGCAAGCTCCTTCCCTCTCCCTCGCTGCCAAGCTGTGTGCTCTGCCCAGCCTGCTCAACCCCCAGATTTCATCCAGATTTTCCTTTTATCCCTGCTGGGGATGCCTCTCCAGCTTGGACAGGGAACAGAGGACACAGTTTCTCTGTGCTCCTGCTGCGTTTGGCTTTCAAGATGCTCATTTGTGTTTTAAACCCATCCGCAAGCTCTTTTTTTTTAATCTCTTTTTTTTTTTTTTACTTGGCTTTGCTTCCTGTATTCCTGCCCCTCCAAAACAGCAAGGCCACTGCAGGCTTTCAAGGACAAGCCTCTGGTTCCTTCCCTGTTGAAGGAAAGATGGGAAAACCAGCCATAAAAGCCAAATCCGTGCTGACCTTTCTGAAGGGCTGCACATCTCCTTCCTCAGCCAGCCGAGCCCTAAATCTGCCCTAAACTGCCTGAATTATATAATAGAGCCTCAAGAGCTGGGCTGAAACCTCACAGCCTTGGAATTTAAAGCAAGCCTGCTGGAGCAGGGCTGGTTTGTGGGAGAGGCTCCCTTTGATCTGGCAGATCTGTGCCCCTTGGCTGTGCTGTCCCTCTGAGCTGAGCCTCAGGTTTGGCTCAGTTCCTGTCCCCTGCCCTGAGCTGTTCCCTGGGTAGGTGAGAGGGAGGGCTGGCTGTGAGTTTTCCTTAGGAAAGCATTTTTTGGGTGAGGGGGGATCACTGAGCCCCTGCTGCCCAGCTCTGTGCAGGATGGGATGAGCAAAGTCAGGGCTGGAATCTTCAGTGGAATCATCCTCCTTGGAGAGCCCTGATTCCCCATCATCACAGAGCTGTGAGGTGCTCACCCTCCCTTAGGGATTGAGCTCCTCCTTGTGACTCTTCCCATGGGATCCCAAACTCTTTCCCTCCCTTGTTTTCCCTTCCTGGAGCTCTCCCTAACAATCCCTGTTATCAGACAATGATCAGCCCTGACCCTCAGTGCTCTGCCTCTCCTCCAGGGCCGTGCTGCTGCCTGGAGACCACCATGACAGACTCCAAGTACTTCACCACCACCAAGAAAGGTAAGGCAAGGAGCAGGAATGTCACAGTTCATCCCAAAATCACCAGCTGGTTCTCACTCCTGTATAACCCAGGTGGGGAGGGCTGGGAAGCTCCTGTGGCAGTGCTGTGGCTCACACCTCACCCTGCTCCTGGGTGCAGCTCCTGGGCTGCTGTGGGCTCAGGACACCTTGTCCCCAGCCCCCTGGGCCCAGCCAGGGCTGCTGGCAGCTGCTGATCGGCTTTAGCAGCTCAGGAGCTCCCCTGTGCAGCACTCAGGGCCTTAAGCACTCTCCAGAGCGAGGAATTAATGTGAGAGAAGCCATGTGGCATCTTCCTCCTCAGTCTGCCAGCCAGGAGGGAGTGAGGAGCTCAGCCTGGCTGCAGGAGATGCTGCCCTGGGCTGGGGGTGCTGCCACAGGCAGGAGGGATCTGGGAGCCTCATCTGGCCTTGAGGAGCAGTGCCCAGAATCCATCCTCGTGGGGCTGGGGTAATCACCCCACAAGCAAAAACACCCTCTGATAACCCCATGCAGTGCCTGTGGGCTGCTCCTGGCTCCTGCAGCACGTCCCATCCTTCCACAAGGATTCAGCAGGAGGTGAATATTCCATTCCCATGGGTGAGAGCTGAGCCCCCAGAGCAGCCCCAGCCCTCAGGGGGGTGTTTGGGAAATTAAATCTCTCTTTTCAGGGGTGGCAGAGAACCCTGTCACCCAGCAGAGGTGTGCTCAGCTTTGAATTATTTATATTTACTTCAGGCTTCTCAAATTAATTCTATAAATGGGTAAGACATTTATTTGCCAAATTCAAGGAAACAGTGTTGTTTTTTTTTTTTTTTCAAATTAAGCCAAATTAGGCTTTAAAATTAGTCTTCATATGAAAAATAAACTTCAAATTTAGTCTTGAAAAATTCTCTGGTCAAGTTTGGCAACCAAATAATGACTTGTGACAGATCAATAGGAAATGAGTTGAGATAATATTATTGTGGAATCTTGAGCCAGCTTTAGAATTAATCAGTTTCCAACTTTTCAGGTATGAGAGGTTATGTATATCTTACTTGCCAAATAAACTGAATTATAGTCTTTGACATTTTCCACTAAGCCCTGAGCTGCCACTTTTCCCATTTCTCCAGGGGAGATATTTGAGCTGAAGGCTGAGCTGAACAGTGACAAGAAGGAGAAGAAGAAGGAGGCTGTGAAGAAGGTGATCGCCTCCATGACTGTGGGCAAGGACGTCAGGTGTGTGCTGGGAATGGAGCCTGGAGTATCCTGAGTGGGAAGGGACCCCCAGGATCATCCAGGGCAGCTCCAAAACCCCACCCTGTCCATCCCTGGCAGCGCTGCCCAAAGGCTCCTGGAGCTCTGGCAGCCTCGGGGCCGTGCCCATTCCCTGGGCAGTGCCAGCACCCTCTGGTGCTGAGGGAAATTCCTCATGATCTTCCCATTGGAGCTGGGAACTGAAGAGTGTGTTAGGAACCAGGATATTGCCAAATCACTCAGTGAAAAGGCCTGGTGGGCTTTAGAGGGAGCTCAGGCTTCTGGGAGAAGAATCTTTCCCTGAAATTTACCCTAAACCTCTCCTTCATGCTGTTCTCCCATGTTCCCAAGCCAAACCCAGCTTTTTGGGTTTGGGTTCCCTTTTGGGTTCCCTTTTGGGTTCCCTTTTCCCCCTGTTGCTTCCAGGGGGGTTTCCATGCTGCTTTTCCCCCAGGATGTGGGCAAGGATGTCAGGTGTGTGCTGGGAATGGAGCCTGGAGTATTCTGAGTGGGAAGGGACCCCCAGGATCATCCAGGGCAGCTCTAAAACCCCATCCTGGGCATCTCTGGCAGTGCTGCCCAAAGGCTCCTGGAGCTCTGGCAGCCTCGGGGCCGTGCCCATTCCCTGGGCAGTGCCAGCACCCTCTGAAGGAAGAACCTTGCCCTGAAATTTACCCTAAACCTCTCCTTCATGCTGTTCTCCCACGTGCCCAAGCCAAACCCAGCTGGTTTTGGGTTCCCTTTTCCCCCTGTTGCTTCCAGGGGGGTTTCCATGCTGCTTTTCCCCCAGGCACACCCTGGCTGCAGCTCTGCCTCCTGCAGTGCAGGTTGTGGCCACGTGGCCACCTGGCAGGTGGGGGCTCTCCTGGCTTTTGTTGTAATCTGGCTAAAAGAGGATTGGTCTGGCTGCCAGATCAGTTTGTTGGGATTATTCCCACTTCCTTCGTGTGTTGCTAAAAACAAGCAGGACCCCCTTTGGAGGGTTTGTGGCAGTGCCTGGATGCTGATAAACCCTTTACAGCCTCTCCAGTCCAAAAGGTCAGGCAGCTGCTGCTGTTCCTGCTTCCTTTTCCATCTGGCTGAGCTGAGCTGCACGTGGCTCCTTCCGTGCCTTGTCCTGCACAGACCTGTCCCAGCACAGGCAGCATCAGCAATTTGATTTTCATGGTGCATTTGAGAGTAAATGGAGGGAAAACTCATCAGGGTTTGGAGAACTGGGGCATCCCTGGCTCCCAGAGCAGCAGCAGCAGCAGCAGGGAGTGTCCATCTTGAGACCACTGTGGAAATCACATGGAAATGGCAGGAGCTTCCAGGGCTTGAAGGGGCTTAAAAAAGGAGGGAGAGCAGCTTTTT